GTATATGAGTATTGAACGTTCCTCTAAAATTTCAGCTTTCTAGCTTTTACTCGTTCCCACAAATTAGCAATTTTCCCGTCAAAATTTTCATGTATCCATGCTTGAGTCCTGGGCGGTTTTAAGGAACTGAGTTTGAAATCTTTTGGTCGTACATGAGTACCGAACATTTCTCTAAAATTTCAGCTTTCTAGCTTCACTCGTTCCCATAAATTAGCAATTTTCCGCCAAAATTTTCACGTGCCCATGTTTGAGTCCCGGGCGGTTCTAAGGAGGTCAGAATTTGAAGTCTTTTGGTCGTACCTGAGTATTGAACATTCCTCTAAAGTTTCAGCTTCCTAGCTTTTATTCGTTCCCAAATTTGCAATCTTTTTATCATACCTTAGAACTGAACACTCCTCTAAAATTTCAGCCTTCTAGCTTTTACTCGTTCTCATAAATTAGCGATTTTTCCGCCAAAATTTTTACGTGTCCATGCATGAGTCCCGGGCAGTTCTAAGGAGCTAAGAATTTGAAGTTTTTTTGTCATATCTAAGTCCTGAACATCCCTTTAAAGTTCCAGCTTTCTAGCTTTTACTCGTTCCCAAATTTCGCACGCCAATACTGAACATTTCTCCAAAGTTTCAGTTTTCTTAGCAATTTTCCCGCCAAAATTTTCGCGTGCCAAAAAGCAAGCACTATAAAAAAGCAACGAACTTTTCGTTTCCACAGGACATTGTTGGCCAAGGCATTTTTGTTCTGTTGCAGAAATGCAAAATGTGATGCTTCCAAAGCGATGTCCGATGAATCTTCGCGTACCATTGCTGCTGCACCGGAAGCATTCATTCGACAACGATCTCTTTTCGTATCGCTGCTATTGCTGGTGATGCTCTATTACTATTTTTACCATAAAACGATGAGGACGGTGCTTGGGTGGTGGTGTTAAGCATCGGCATACGCAATTGCGGGAAAATTTCGCGCACTCTCGTGATTTGAAGCTTTTTCGGGGGAATAGCACAACGATCGGTGGTGCGGCAGCAGCAGCAGCACAGTGGCAGCCTCTCGCAGCACAACACGAGACGCCCTCGTAGCACCAAATTTTT